TCTCTCTCTCTCTCTCTCTCTCTCTCTCTCTCTCTCTCTCTTTATTTATCTCTCGCTCTCTCACCTACATGCACACACACATACACACACACTCGCTACTCACTTCCTTGATCTCTCCATCACTCTTACTTCTACCTCCCACCCTCTTATCTTTCCTTTGCCCATTCCTCCCCAGGTAGGTAGGTAGGTAGGCCTAAGATCTATCACCATACCTTCTCGAATAAAGGCGAAAAATCTAGGAGTCCGGTGTGCAAGTTGAGCTCGCTGAAAATCCTTTGTTGGTCCTAAAATCGCTAAGAGTACGGTAGGCTTCGGCTGCCACCTGGGCAATTTTCAAAATTAATTCCTACCCAACTGAAAATGCTAAACGTGTCCCGCATGCTCATACGACCTAAAGAATGCAGTTGAGAGTGTTACTTTACTTTTATCCGCCGCTTATAACCCTTTTGGGTGTCGCGGGAAGAAAGAGACGTCTCTCAGTCGCCAGCCTGAGAGCTTGGGTCAGGGGGGTGCCGTGGATGGTTAATGTTTCCCTGACTCCCATCTATCCAGGTCTTTTTCGGTCGCCCTCTAGCCTTGTTGCCATCGAATTTTTTTATGTAGGCAGTTGCGAGTGACGTAAAAGAAAAATTGCCCCCAAAAAAGCAAGCTGTATGTAATACATGTAACCCTAACACTTGTAATCTTCACCGCTTTTATGACCTACTTGTGTTGCAAGTGCCTTAAAACTCTCAAAAAACTGTCCCCGTGGTTTTGTGGAGAAAAAATGAAATTATGCAAACTGGGCCCAAAAAATCGTGAAATTATGCGATTCTGTTAATTTTAACAAAGAATGATGAAGGAAAGTAATCAGAAATTATGCAAAAAATGATCAAATTTTGCTAAATTATGCGGGGAGCATAAAACCACGGGGACAGACAAAAACTCCCCCTCCCCCGACCCCTCCACCTTCTAAACGACTTGATTCTACCTTTCTGTTTACCCTGACGATCTCAACGCGATGAAATCAGGCGCTCGTCAATTGTTGGGCTTATGGAGCTATTGGTATCATCTTTAAGCCTATTCAGCAGGGTACTGCTGCTTTTTCTTTCCTAATCCTTACTATCGTCATTTCCTCTACTTCTTTTGTATGTTTGTCGCACTTTTGTGACCCGCTATTTTCGGGTTGCCTTGATAGTTGAAGCAGACCTTGTGCTGTTGAAGCTAGAGAGGTGAGCAGAATAAGTCTGATTCCCTGTAAAGACTTCTCTGTTGACATCCACACTTTGGCGCTCATATGACCTTATGCAGTTGCGAGCGCCGTAAAACCTCTACTAAAACTTAAAAGATTCATTTGTCAAGCTTTCAATGAGAAAAAAATTATACTCATCTATCTTTAATAAAAGCCGAGATATTTGCAACTGAAGGAGGTGCAAGGGGATCGTCTGCTTTCAGAGGCAACATTATCGAGAAAATGGCCGCCAAAGTTAGGTGACTTCAAAAGCTTGAGAATCC